GAAGAAGAATATGCATGAAATTTTAGAGAATATAAATTAAAGAATCAGTAAGAATTCTTACAATTACAAATTGATAATGAAAATTTTACAAACGATGTAGACTAACCAAACATAGAACGAAAGATGAGCACAAAAGTAACGACTAGGTTCCCTCATTATAGGAAAGTCAACGAGGGGAAATTTTTGGTCGGAAAATTTTTTCGTAGTAACTTGAGATTTCCCAACCTAACTCAGATTTAGATTTGGATGAAATCGGATTCATTAAAGTGTAGGAAAATCTAATAACAATCGGGTGATTTAATAATGAATTTGATTACATAAAGTCGATAGATAAGTCATCAAGGATCCCATATGACTTTATGGAATTGAATTTTGGTGAGTAGAGCTCCCTATATCGATCTTAGCGTAAACGATAACTTTCTGAGAATCCTTCGTCAAAGGTATGTTGTGAATAGGAGTCTTGAAATTATTAAAATAGCTCACTATTTCGTGAAAGTCACTTTGGTCGTGCTTTTGATCGCTCTGGCGGGGCCGTTGTGCTGAAGTGAGTGTCATTGTAGCAGTCCTGACGTGACTCAAAGTTGTAAATTAACCCCAACACATCTTTGTGTTAGGACCGAAAATAAGCAGGTGTAAATGCGGAAGCTAGCAAAGCAAACTTCGAAAGACCATGAGTAAGAAGACAACGAGAAATATACCAAAAGACACAAAGATTTAACGTGGTTCGGTCAATCGACCTACGTCCACAAAGGAGATGAGCAATTCACTATAAATATGAAATTACAAAATACAGAGAGAAACAACCTCAACCAATTCACTCAGAATACATGGGAGGTTCACACAAGTGATAACGTATCAAGTTTGTGACCCATAAATTCTCCCCCTAACCAAAACTCTCATAGCCCTTAAGACTACATTGTGAATGCTGATTAAGTTATAAGGAACATGCCTCTATTTATAGAGTCCTAAACCTTTTCCTACCAAAAAAGGATTAGTAAATTCAAAACCTTTTCCTAAAAGGAAAACCTATTTATGGTAAGAAATCAGGGCAAATAAAACCCAACAAATCTCCCCTTTGGCCTGAATTTCTGACAAAATAAATTTGTCCACCTTCTTCACTTAATCTTCAACAACTTGCTTCTCCTTTCCACAATCTCCTTTGCAAATTTTATGTCTCTACACAGAGAACCTCTCTGAAACAATTTCTCTAACAACATCTTCATTACTGTCAAAAAGGTTGCGGCTAGAACTACACCTGCCAAGATGAACACCTCTATCGAACTCTGGTTCAATAATCGATTATCGAACCACTAAACCTGAATTCATCATTGAATCTGGCTCTGATACCAATTGTTAGGACCAAAAATAAGCAGGTGTAAATGCGGAAGCTAGCAAAGCAAACCTCGAAAGACCATGAGTAAGAAGACAACGAGAAATATACCAAAAGACACAAAGATTTAACGTGGTTCGGTCAATCGACCTACGTCCACAAAGGAGATGAGCAATTCACTATAAATATGAGAGTACAAAATACAGAGAGAAACAACCTCAACCAATTCACTCATAATACATGGGAGGTTCACACAAGTGATGACGTATCAAGCTTGTGACCCATAAATTCTCCCCCTAACCAAAACTCTCAAAGCCCTTAAGACTACATTGTGAATGCTGATTAAGTTATAAAGAACATGCCTCTATTTATAGAGTCCTAAACCTTTTCCTACCAAAAAAGGATTAGTCAATTCAAAACCTTTTCCTAAAAGGAAAACCTATTTATGGTAAGAAATCAGGGCAAATAAAACCCAACACTTTGTTCTGTACTTTTTGGTTTTTAGAGATAAGGAACGAACCCCATGCAATTCTTGATAGTTTTCCACCATTCTTGAGGTTAAAGGTAAAATTTTCTCTCCCCCGAATCTATTTTATGACCCGGAGAATATAATGTAATCGGTTATTATCAATGGGTGAGGGTTTTGATTTAGAAACTAAGGTGGAAAAATCCCTAGATCGGATACTTGAGATCATGAGTTTAACCTAGGGTTCATAGAATTGTTAGTGGTTTGGGTAATTGTTATTTTTATTGATTCCCATATTATATTGATTATTTGTAGACCAAGAACAATTCGAATGAATTCGAAAAGGGAAGGATCAAATATCTTAGGGTTTCGATTTTTTTCGAGGTAGGTAATGGTTGTGATTCTATGATTGTGTGATGTATGTTTGTTATTGCTTCATTATGATGCATGTACAATAATAATGCATTATTTATCACATTAAATGTAAATTAATGTGAATGAATAACTATATATCATGAATCACTTTTTCATTGTATGATTTTGAGAATATACTTCTGATTGTGATTGTAGTGTGTTGAATAGATCGGTTGCCACGTTTTTGCATAACTAAGTTTGATCAGTTGCCACATTCCGTCATAATTATGGGATCAGTTACCACATTCAGACATAATTATGGGATTAGTGTCCACATCCGATACAAACATTGGATCGATTACCACGTTCCAGTATGCTTACAGTTTCGGTTTAGGTTCAACGAGAGGACTAACTAATTGATATAATTGTGATATTAGAGAATTGTGAAATGCTCCATAATTCGTAAATGATTATGATATAGTATATGTTAGATGAAAGTAAGTTAATACTATGTTGCATTGACTTACTTATGTTGCACTTAGTGAGATAGTCGTGTGATTCTACCAGTACATTGTGGTTGTGTATTGATACTACACTTGCTCTTATTTTTGTTGAGTACCACGCATCTTCAGGAGGCTATTGACAGAACTCATCTAGAAGATAATGATCGCTTTAAATTCAAGGGTGAGATAGTTCTTCCAGGCGGCCATGAGTTCTCCTTTCATCTATGTCCATATTTCGGAGTTAGATTTTTCTAGTTACATATTAGTTCATTAGTTTGAGGTTGTGATCCTTTTTGTTTAGACTTATGATTCATTGTTAGATGTTTTAGTACATTGAATTTCAGGTTCTAGGTTATAATTTCCGCAATGCTAGTTTGTTGTTAGACTTTTGGTGGAGTTTATGGAAACTTTTATTTTTTTCATTTGCATTTAACTTGATTCCGTAACAAAAATGCTCTAGTATTTTTTATTAGTTGGGGGTTTGAACTGTAGTAATAGTTCTACCCCAGAGGATTTGTTTAGGTGCCAATTATGATAGTCTGGGTCGTGACAAAGTTGGTACCAGACATTAGGTTTCTTGATCTCGACGTACCAAAACGAGTCTAGTAGATTCTTGTGGAACAGTATGGAGACGTTTATTTTTTTTCGTTGAAAAGCCTATAACAGTTTAGAAAGTCTCTCTATTTTCTCTTGTCTCCTTTCATGCTATGACTTGGTTCATATTGGTATATAACTTACTTCACTCTTTTGGCCGCAAATAGGTGATACTAGATTCAACAGTGTTAGGCTCGTAGCTCCTGTTAATCCAGCTGAAGACTCTGCATTGAGAGGCTGCGGTCGATGCTGGGGTAGAGAAAGAGAAAGGGATAAAGGTCATGAAAGAGTATCACCTACTAGGGATGGAGCTCATGTTGAGAATACTCCTAGGAATGATGCTCATCCTATGCACCATTAGAGATAGATGAGGATGTTGAGGTTGAGGATGATGAGGATGTTTGGCATGAGGAAGATGATGAGAATGAAATGTTGACTATGTTTACGAATCTAAAGCCTCCTTTGTTTCTGGGTTCAAAGAGTAAGGATGCCTATGAGTTTATTTTAGATTGCTATGAGAAGCTTCACAAGTTGGGAATTGTCCACCAACATGGGGTAGATTTTTTGACTTTTTAGCTTTAAGGTGAGGCTAATCAGAGGTGGGGAGCTTATGTGAAATGCAGATCTTCGTCTTTACCTCCACTCACTTGGAATCAGTTTCATGCTCTGTTTTTAGAGAAGTATATGCCACAGACTTTCAGAGATCGTAAGAAGAATGAGTTTATGGATTTAGAGCAAGGTGGTATGTATGTGACTGCTTATGAGGCTAGGTTCCACACTTTGTCTAGATATACTACGTAGTTGGTGACTACTGAAGAGGAGAGGATTCATTTGGGGACTGAATTATGAGCTACACATATTGTCTGTTTATATGACGTCTGCACAAATTTTTTTTAATAAAGTGACAGATTTTGTAAAGAAAGAGGAAGGGGTGAGACAGTTAGACTAAGGCTTTGGCTAAGAAAGCCAAGAACTCCGGTAAATTCTAGGGCTCCTATTCTAGAGGGTCTAGTAGACTAACACTTGCATCCCTACATATTCAATCGACCATGCCCGCTTCTACAGGTAATTACTTTGGAACTCTACCTCAGAATCTAATTCAGGATAGACAGGGAATCACGTCTTCAGTGAGAAACATACCATCTTTTATTGTACTTGCTACAATTGTGGAGAACATCCACATATGATGAGAGATTGTCTTTGCTCGCACATGTTGGATTCCGCGCACCAGCAGTCTAAGGCAGTGGTGCCCGCATGGAATGGTAATAATGGTTGAGGGCATCCACAAGGTGGGCTAGGAAGTAATGAGCTAGGTCGTCGAGGAGGTAGAGGAAATGGTAACGCATGCAGGGGTAACATGCAACTAGGAAGGGAGGTAGCTCGTCAAGGTGATAAGGCTCAATGTTATGCCTTTCGGGCAAGATTGAGGCAGAGGCGTCTGATGCGGTTATCACATGAACTATTATTGTTTGTGGCCATATGGATAATATGTTGTTTGATTTAGGTTCTACTTATTCTTATGTATCCATGAGATTTGCCTCAGAATTTGATATGAATTGTGATATACTTGATGCCCCCATCAATGTTTCTGACCTAGTTGAAAAAATTTTCATAGTCACCCATGTCTATTGTGCTTGTCCTATTTTATTTATGGATTTTCAGACTTAGATGATTTGGTGATTTTAGATATTATTGACATTGACGTAATCTTAGGCATGACTTGAAACAAGCACAAATCTCAGATCAATACATGTCATTTTATTGCTTGTTTTCCGGTCACCCCTAAGCCAACAACGACGACACCAATAACTCCGGCCACAGCAGTTGACCTCAGCCCCGAAGTCTCCCTGTAGAACATACTAGTTCCCAAGCCAGCAACCACGCTATTGATAACATCATATGTATCCCTAATAGCAACCATTCCACTCCCCACCCCAGCATAAAGCAACTCAATAACACTAGCTCGATTTCCAAATTTACGACCCGTATAACCCGACACATTCAGGATTCTATTGATCTTGAGCTTCATAGTATCACATGGCTTCGAAGCTTTCACACCTTCAATAAATCCTTTACCGACACTGAAAATGGCACCAGAGAGATAACTGATACCAGTGTAATAAGTTAAGTTTTCTCCCATGATCTACGTGCAACAACAAATTCTTCCTAAAACAGAAATTCAGGTGAGGTAGGAACCTTGTAAAATGTTTTGATTGGAACTTGTAGGTCTTGGTAAGGGTTATAAAGTTTTATTCTTGTTGTCATCGTTGTCTCTAGTGTAATTAGGTGATTGGTGTTGATGCGCTTTGGATTCCTTCTTGATTAGTTCTAAGGTTTGAGCTAGGGTTTTGCTATTTTTCCGATCCGCAGAGAACTCAAGAGGAGAAGATTCGTTCCTTTTTTCTTGTATATTATTACACCTCTCCAAAATGTGCCTGCGTTTAATTAGGACAAGTTTTTAATAAAAAATTAGATCTATTTAGGTCGGCGTGTTAATTCCGCTATTCCAAGGTTTGGTGATTCGATTTATATCACTTGGACTTTGACATGTTTAGTTTCAGTGACTAGTCGATTTTCGAATCTCGTGTAGTGCTGATAAAGAAAAGGTTCCATTTAATATTCTCACCCACCTTGATATTTAGAGTTTTAGACATAAATGGTCTATCTAGTTTAGAGATGGTTTTAAGTATTGTTCTTACATGAGCGGAGTAGGAGATTCATTTATATTGTATGATAAAGGTTAATATTGGTGATCGACTGAAAAACACACACAAATATATATATATATATATATATATATATATACATACATTTATATGGGGATTCGACCATAAAAATTGGATAATAATTTCAATTTTCTTTTCATATTTCAAAATAATTATGTTCATTTGTGTTGCTTGTAGAACGATATTCTGCAAAAATACTAAATGAATTTCTTGTTTAAGTAATTATTCTTTGAAGGACAAAATCTTTCCTCCTTGACCTCCGTTTTGAATTTTTTTGGGGGATTAGAACAACCTAATGACCTATATTGTAAAGGAGGAGAAAAGGTAAATTAGCTTCAACTACTGCTAGGTTATATTCTACCGTGAGCAGAATAAGTGGGATAATTAATCAAAATGAAAGATGTTTCCACATATAATGATTAATCCATCATGTTAAATATAATTCAAGATGGAATTGATGGAATATAAATCTAAATATTTTCAATTTGAAAGATGTTTCCACATATAATGATTAATCCATCATGTTAAATATAATTCAAGATGGAATTGATGGAATATAAATCTAAATATTTTCAATTTGTCTTCATAATGCGTATAAAAATGTTTGATTGGATTTGAATTATATTAGTCGAAGGATCAAAAACATAAATATTACTTAATTAAAGGTCAAATATTCTTCATCGAATATCATACGAACTAAAACAGAAATAATGTGATAACATAGGAAACAAAAAAGTTTTCCCTTGAAATTATTTCCATTTTAAGTTCCTCTTTATGTTTTGTTGGTTTAAAACCATAAGTGCCCAAACATAACTTGGATTAACATTTTATGCGTAATTTTTATATTTAAAGGATGAAATTAAACGAACCAAATACTTAAGGGTCTTTTATGTGAAAATGACAACTGTCACGGTCATACGTGGCCGTTTTCAGAGTCGTCTCACGTCTACTACGTCATTTTAGCTTGCTTCATCCAAAATTTCCAAACAACCAATCGTAAGCGTGGGGGATTTGGGTAGAGTAAAAACGCATGCAGTCGGTGCTCTTCTGGTTACGGTGTCGCCGACAAAATGGGAAGGTATTTCAGTGCCACGTGTAAGCCGGATATATTTGAGTATTCAATTTCGGATTTCATTTTACAGTCAGAGTGAAAACAACCACTCCAGCAAAAGGTCTCAACAATATTGGGATAAGTTGTACAAGCTCCACAAAAACAAGGTAATAAGCTCCTTCCATGTACGAACAAGTTTAGAAAGAAAGTGAAATCTTCGATTTTATCTCGAGTAACTGGTAAAGTTGTTGTAATGTGATCGTGACCAGGTAAACAACTTTGTAGTTCATAAGACAGTGATGGAGTTGAAATCAATCATTATACAGGAGTCATGATACGCTGTGAAATCACGAAAATGTTATTTAGAGATTGAAGCATAACTCCATGGAACATGAAAAATTAAGAAGACAAAATGTATGACTCCATAAGCACACTTCTCTTACATGAAATATGGATAAATAGTCCTCAACCACCACTGTTTTACGATAAAGGGCAAAGAACACAAGGGAGGTCACTAGGCATTAGAAGTCGGGGGCGTATAAGATCAGATACCATCCAAACAAAAAAGTTTGAATACAAAAAAGTAAAGATGCCGAGGTAAAACTACTATATTAGTAATCTAAAGGAGAAGTAAGTCATTCAACAACATGTTATAGTAACTAACAATACTCAAATTTCCACCAGAAAATACACATTAAAAAGGCATATACAAAAGATTTATGAAGTACATCTGCTAAATGGTAGAATAGATGGAATCAACCATGTAAAGCAATGACCTTACAATACAAAGTTTCGAATGTTCATTTTATCATTAAAAAAATACTCCCTCCGTTTTACAAAGAACGGTCTAATTTGACTTGACACAGACTTTTGATCATGTGGTCATAAATTAAAGTTATGTTAAATGTAAAAAAAAATTTCTTTAATCTTGTGGACTTAAACATGTCACGTGGAAAGTTACTACCAAAAAGAGAAACTGATCATTCTTTTTGAAACATACTAAAAAGGAAAGCATGTCATTCTTTTTGAAACAGAGGGGGTACATTTTACTCACCAATCAAAAATGAGAAATTGAATTAGAAATCCACTTGTTTTCAAGGAAAACATTTTCCTTCGTACCAAACACACCCTACTTCTTCCATGTAATCCTAGTTTTACTCCATCCGATTTTAACATCTTCACTTACGGTAGTATTATACCTATGAAAGAGGTGTATCTATTGGTCAACACATAGCTAAATCTAGGATTTGAAGGTCCTGGGTGCCACAACGTTCAAGTAAGATAAGGATCTAACTCCTTTAAATTTGGGTTACAATTTAGGTTATTAATTTATTTATTTTTTATAAACAAATTGATCAAATATGCATATTAGTAATATTTTCTTTTAGATATTCTGAGATACTTTATCATATCTCATATATACGATAAAAAGGCCTACAAAAATTCTTAAATGAAAAATTGTTCATCAGTTTACTATGAGAATATTTCTATTCACATTCATCCTATATAATGCTAACAAATTTAGTAGGATACCATTTTAAATATGGAATGTCTGAGAAATATTTTGTATATTTGATGATAAAAATGAACATAGTCTAAAGCAGATACAATAGACAATTGATGTTAGCTTTAATCATCCTCAAACTCCTCTCAAAACAGCTATAGAATATGGAAGATATTATCATTATCACATATATAGAGCCTCCATTGGTTGGATAAACAAAGTCAATGATAAGTTCGAATATGGACTCTGAGCTATGAAAGAAAAAGAAGATATTTTGAACATGAAAAAGAAAGAACGGAAAGAATTTTGATCAGTATGACAATAGCAGAATTCCTCTTGAGCTTCTTAGGGAGTTGGTGATAGAATTCAGTAATTACAATCAAGGTAAATAGCTTAGTCTTTTAAAATTCTTCGAAGAAATAGTCATTTTCCCTTCAATTGAGGCTAACATAAGATATTTTCTAGCTTCAGTGAAACAGATTCAAAAGAAGACATAATTTAGTTAGTGGTTTAGAGAGAAACTTTGTTTCGTATTCTTTACCTTTTTTATGAAACACTAAAACAATATACTCGAAGCCTCTACGAATTAAATATCATATTTACATTTAAATTAAGTTAATATTCCATCAAACTGAATGACATACAGGGAGATAAAATCACAAGAACATTATACGGCACGCAAGATCTCTTTGTGCTTGTCACCTACATACAATACTTTGGGATTATTTTAGGTTGAAGTTAATTTTCCAAGAAAAATATGCTAGAGAAACATGGATGTACAATTTATAAGAAATGAGTAAGACATTCCTTGTCTCATTAAATAAAATGAGTACAACAACTTTACTTCAAAAAATATATATATATTTGTCAATTTAATTTTAAACTTCTAAACTAACATAAATTGATACTTACATTCTTAAATTTCAACAATTTTAAAAAATAACCAAGTATATAAACACGTACCATTTGAAAAAATCCACTTAAAATAGAGTTTGACAATCTCAAACACCCACCCGCAACCTTAAGTGAGAAGAGAGTGAACAAAAAGTTCCTCCTTTCTCTAACACACTCTCCAAATAATTTTTTCCCCTCCCAGTGAAATTTAATGGCACATGAAAGAAAGAGATTAAAGAAATGAAAACTGCTAGAAGAAATAGAACTTGAAATGTGAAGTACTGAAGCAATCAACAACACAAGTTATTTTATGGAACAAAATAGTCTACACACGTTGACAGAGAAAGAACCAAAAGTGTTTGTCCAACTGTTTCAAGTTGTGTATTGTATTATCTTTTAGTGCATTGTACAATCACTGAGTGCCGAATTGTTTGATTGAGATTAGGTAGACAAATTTTATATTGATATTGACAATTGAAAACAAAAGAAAATGTACATCTTCATGCTCACTTTACAGTCGAGAGGGAAACGAATATATTGGAGAGAAGTACATATCCTAGACATGGCAACTTAAGTCTCTAATAGAAAAAGATAATATGTTGGACTTCAAATTTGTCGAATGCTCAAATTTACATGAGCTTGTGTCCACGAATGTTTGTTCCTCGAGACAGAAGACATGTTGAACATGAGATTTGTATCTCTAGATACACGGTAAAAAATTAAGATCTTTTCCCTTGTCTTCTTTTCTTTAGTAAAGTCTCTTGTTTTTCACAAGAAAAATAAAAATAAAAAATATCTCTTGTATATCCAATTGTTATCTCTATGTTGAGAAACTTGAAAAGAAATAGGAGAGAATTTGGGCAAAAATGAATAGAAAAAGTTAAGCTCAAATTGGAAAGAAGACGTTTCTAAGAAGATTAAGAGAACGCATTGTATCAGTGCAAGAGAGTAGCAAATTACATTTT